TATTTTGTGGTTCAAATGGGGCATTCATTTAAGTGAAGCAACTCATTTAAATGATGGCCTCATTTAAACCATACAAATGGGTACCCAAAATGTAATACACCAAGCAAGTCTCTTAATTATTTTGGTTGAGTCGAGCTCGTAAACTTTTACCTTTTCCTATTTATGTTTGAAGTCAATGAGTAATATTAAAAAAGAATGGGTTTTGGAATTGTTTAAAAAACTGGGGTAAAATAGTCAATTTTAGAAATATCACCTCATTCTTAACGACCATAAATCACAAAATGACTTGAAATAGTACTAAATATCAGTCATAAATCACCCTAATATGCAGGGGTGGGAGGGTCAGTCCTGACTCAGTCCAAATTTTAAAAATGTCTAAATTTTTAGTGTAAAAAATTCATTTTTTTTGAAAATATTCTTTCTATCGACCCAGTTTGGCCTAGTATCCTGACTCCGCCCCTGGTAATATCAGTGGCGGATCCAGGAATAAAAACTATTGGGGGCAGAATAATAATACACAAAACATGTTCACAAAAATACATTAATAAAGCATATTAGATCAAACAAAAAATGGTTATAAAGTATACGACAATTTGTTTAAAACTAAATAAAGTGTTTTACAATTAAAAAAATGATCAACTTTTATTGAGTTTTTATCTTTTGAAAGTAATTTATTACAATTTCATTTGTGAGTAGGGACGCTTGAATAAAACCCTTTCTATGAAAGAAACTATATTGTAACTCAAAAACTAATCAAAAATTGTTTCTATTGCTTAAATTAGTCATCTATATTAACTTCTTAGGGCATTCAAATACTAATGGATATATCTGTACTTTAATTTGCAATAACCGGTGCCAAAATATAAAGGTGTTTTATTCAAAACAACTATCCATTAAATCTAATAAAAAATGTACACCTAAAGTTTTTGGCCTTTTATAACTAAGAGTGTTTTTACTTGAATTGTTTTCAGTCCTAGATCAGACCATACCAGACTTAAACAGACTAGCCAGTTCATACCAAACCAAACCAGACTTGCATAGTTATAAAATACACAAAGATCAAATATTTACCAGACCAGACATAAACAGATTAGACCAGAACAAACAAGCAAATTTCAATCCAAGTCAAACATCCTTATACATTATTAATAAATCTCAAATCTTGTGTTATTTCTATAAAACAACTAGCAGCAAAAGCATGTAGTTCTGATTTTACTACTATCTTAACGGTATTTAGCCTAAAGGAGTTCATTACATTATTATGTAATTAAATTTATCTATTTACATAATTAGATAGTTAATTTAAAATTTTATATCGTTAGTTACTTAATTTTAACCTACTAACTTAGCTTACTAGCTACTGTATTAACATTAATTTTAATAAATTAGAATGAGTCATAATATTTATTTAGGTAGATTCTATGGTACCCTTAAGGTACCATACATTTGTCCACATGGACCAATAGGAATGATGCAGTTGAATTAATTAAATCTAAATTAAAAGGAATAGAATGATTTGGACCAATCAAATACATGATAGGTACGGTACCCCCAATTTTTAAAAGGGTACCAGAGTTGTCACCATTTATTTATTTTATTAAGGATAAACTATACGAAGTATCAAGCAGGAACAAGACCTCATCACAGTCGGTATCTACTCCGCATTTGTTTTTTTGTTTTTTTGAAAGATCTACTCTGCATTTGTTATTCTTGAATTTAGCTATTCATTAGTCATCTTGATGTTCTCACTTCTCATACTAATTTGCAACCTAATTCTTCTATGTTTGGGGATTAAATCTTTTAATTGCTATTACTTCTCTTCCGTATTAGCCTAAACTGAAAAGTTCGAAAAGATTTTACTTTACACATTGAAGAGATTGGGCTTTTATTGGGGGCATTTCTATTTTTCAATTGGGGGCAAATGAGTGGATTAATATTTTTTCTTAATGGATTAAGGGGTATTAATAGGACTTTCTTGGGGGCAGCTGCCCCCTCTTTACTATGTAGATCCGCCCCTGGGTAATATGCACATTGGAAGTGATTTTGTAGCAATAATAACTTTTTGAATATATACCAAAAATGATATGATGTCACTTTTCAAATTGAAATCCAGAGATCGAACACATTAAAAATTGATACAAAATGATCAAATAAAAAATATTTTCAAAATGAAATCACTTATTTTATATTCCGATACAAGCTTTTACTAAGTTAAAATGGTGGATTGTAGTGGAAAAGTGGACGTGAATCCTTATTATTATATCTTCAAATTGTTCATATCATTAAAAAATATTTTCAGGTATTGTATTTATTTATTGGTGATAATTGGCATTATTATTAGACGAGAAAATTAGGTGTATGTACATAACTAAATATGTGCTTTTAAGTTAATATATTATGGATTAACAAAAATTTACTACATAGCCTTACGTAAAATCCATCGGTCCGCTTTGTCTATTAAAATGAGTTAACTACTCCTCTTAGTCCTCAATTTCCTCTAATATCATGAACAGTGGCTACTTCTATGGAGCAAGCAGTTACGTGCTTGTAGTTTACTTTTGATCTCATGATGTAAAACATATAACCAAATACTCCGTACATTGCAGTGGAAGTTACGTACCTACGGTAGTTAAAATTTTAAGGGTTGTATATTAACAAAAAAAGTGCTATCTATTTTAATAAATAAAATAGAGGCTATTAACTTTAAGTGGCCTATTTCTTTAGGCTATATAGCTTTTTTCCCCTTATTAGACGTTATTTTCTATATATTTAATGACTTATTTAATGAATAACCTTTAAGAGCTAGCTTGGATATGATTCTACTCAGGTTTAACTTGGCTTGAGCTCAATAATGTGTGGAAGAAATTTTATAAAAAATTACTCTGAATTTGAGTAAAAATAATGTTAATCACTATAATAAAATATGAGTGTTGTGACTTTCCACATAAATAACAGTAGGTAGTGTCTGTAGGGTGTGTTTCGGAAAATAAAGAAAATTAATTAAAATAAATTAATTAATTAAAATGACGAAAGAAAAACAAGAAAAGAGATGGAGCAGAATTTGTCAAAGCTCGTGCTACGCACGATGTCCTTAAAACGTATTTGTTGCCTCCCACGGTGCTAGGAGCGTTGCAACAATAGTTTCCCAGGATACGATGACAACGAACTAGTGTTTGAGCACTCAAACAAAAGTTCCAGCGAACGAGAACAAAGACTGAACACAGAAGGAAATTTTCGGAATGCTAGCAGCGTGTTTTTGAGGTGCAAAACGTGAATGGAGTGTCTAAATTCGTGTAAGAACGTGTGTTGTTGCAAACCACCTGCCAGCCATTATATAGGAGGATTTGTTGTATGAAAATAGTGAATTAATGGACCTGAACGTTGGACATCAATGACCAGTCCGTTGGGCATTGAATCGTCCATGAACTGTCCATTTAACGCTGCATTAAAAGATAAGAACGTTGGGCATTAATTGTTGTAACGTTTCAGAAGTGCGAGAGAAGACCTCCATCAGAACACCCCGGGAGGGGTTCTGATCGGAGGCCAATCAGAAGACCCCAACTCTGATCCGTGGCCATCAGAGTACCCCCAACTCTGATGGGTGGCCATCAGAATACCCCATGAGGGGTTCTGCCATCAGAACACCAACGAGGTGTTCTGATCCGTAGGCTTCTGTCCGAGCACTTCTGCCACTGGGAAAAAATTAAACGTTTCGGGAAGAAAACAAAAATTAATCGTATCTCTTGAGAGATAGATTTTTGGACGACATTCGTGTCCGCAGGTCGCCCGCGCACGCAAGTCGCGGTTTTTCTTCTCCGAATTCGGGATTTGATTTGCACCCCCCCTACGCGCGTGGAGAGAGCCTTTACCCTTAAGAATCTTAACTCCATAAGGGGGGAGTCCCTTTATAAAGGGTAGCAAATCCCTTGGGTTTTCCGGTGTGGGAAATTAACACACTAGAAACCCATCCTTTTTCCCAGTTTTTCCATTCTAACGGGTAAACTTCGAAAAGCGATTTCTCATTCACCCGTTATCCGTTTTGAGCGTACCATATATCGAATTGTAGCCCTGAACAAGTACAATCCGAAACCACTTTGACCCGACCCAAATCGGAAGTGGACCCCACTCAAAAAATTGCCCCAAAATAGCCATTTAATACAATTTTTCACACATTTTTCCAACAGTGTCTCCTTCCAAAAATACTATTAGTACCAAATATGACATTGATATTGTTATACTAGTGCTAGACAATGCTAAGATATACTCTATGTACTTTTATTTAGGAAAAAAGCATTTTTTTTTATTTCACCTTACTTTTCATTCTTCCGATATACTCTACTCTGTATTTCCTTTTATTTGGCTGAAAAATTAAAAAACAAGTTCTTGAACTTTTGCCTTTTTATTATTGGACTCTTGAACCAAATGATTTTACAAACACATCACACTCATTGAAAAATGATTGACTTTTTTCCTAGGACTATCGATAGAACGGTAACTCTCAATTACTCTCCGTATTTAAAAGTTCTTTGTTCCACACACTTTCATTTTTGAAATGTATTTAAAAGTTTCCTACACTTCCATTTTTGATAAGTTTATCCTTTATAAAATACTCAATTACCTTTACTTTATCAACATTTTATCTTCTCTTTCATATTTTTACACACTCTCTCCTACTTTTTCTACACTATGTCACTATCCCTATCCTTACTATTCTATCCTAAAACATTGTACCAAAAGCAAATGTAGGGAACACATAAATAGGGAGGGGTATTTTATAGTGACATGTTGTTCACATTAACAGAAAAAAATGTTCAATTACTTTTTTTAATGGATGAAGTGATATATTGGTAATTTGATCCTTTTTATTTTATCCTTTTTTTATTTTGTATTTTAAGCGTATCACTGCATCTCGTATTCGATTTTTTCATTTGAATGATACTATTCACACATTTAAAAGTGTGGCCCCTTATGCAGTCCTGCTACTCCGTAGATCCAACCCTCTGTCTGCAAGTACCTTCATGTTGTTCCGTCGACAACGATGAACTTTCAGACCCGTTTTTAACACACACAAGGATAAAAAATAAAACAGTGAAGTAGGATTTAATTTATGACTCTTTTGTGTGGAAATCTGGGATAATGGGCATACTGGAAAAGGTGGGCTGGAATGATTGGGAACACGAATCCTACCCAAGCTATGGAGATCTCGCATTGCTTCCGCTGTTCGTCCTGTTCTTCCCCACTATCAGATTCCTGCTTGATAGGTTCTTGTTTGAGGTAGTATTTCGTATCATTACTTAGAACTTTCCTGAACATGTCATTGATTCTATACTCTTGCTTCGTGTAACACAAACAAAAAGGGAAAATTCCAGGAGTACGAGTTAAAACGTTTGTAAATTTCAAAATAAGACTGTCGTGTTTGTTTTGTTATTAGAGAATAAAAATATGACAATCCTATTTTGTAGTAGTAATACACACGTTATTAGTCCTGTTTGACACTTAGGAATATAGGATCTTTTTCATGATTTTGGCTCTTCTGTTTTGCATCTTTGAGGTCAGAATTCCATTTGTGCAAAAAGCTTTCATGGTTCACAGGGAGTAGAATCACAACAGAATTTGTAATGACAAAATAATTTCCTCCTTATACCAAGGCACTTGTTCAAAGCAGAAAAAATGAGTTAGTTGCTTAGTTCATGTTCAAGAACTCAAATTTTATCCTATTCTAAGATTTGGGTTCGGGGTTCCCATACTCATTTATGTAATATTTGTACCTCATCTCTGTGTAGATGATGATGAAGAGACGTATTTTTCACAGTACATTTATCTTGCATAGTTACATACTTACATGGCACCCTCAAACACAATTACATGCCATATAGAATTAGTTCCACTTTTGGTCCTACGAGTTTTGTGTCAATTTCCACCTTTAGTTCACGTCTTTCACTTTGTCCACTTTTGGTACTTGACTAATGTTTTTTAACCGTTTGTGGTCCTTTTCTGGCAATTTTAACCATCGGAAATAATGCCGGAATGACCATATATGGGCGAAAACCCAATAGTCATGGATCAAAAGTGGACAATGTGAAAGATGTGGAGTAAATGTGGAATTGACCTAAAACTCGTAAGATCAAAAGTGGAATTTATTCTGCCATATAACCTACAAAACACCATCTGCCGTATCTCACCCACCACATTACTACATTAGATGTCTATTAAATTATTTGAATATCAAATACTAGGTATATGAGTAACTTAGAAATAAGTCAAACAACTGTAGTTACAATGTAGAACTATGTTGAAAAGAAGAAAGCAATACTCTGGTGTAATACAAGATAGGATGGTGCATTTGGGATTGGCATGCCCGAAGGAAGTGTTTCAAGGTACCACATAAGAATAAATTGGCTATAGAAGGCCGAAGGAACTTCGACGTCATGTCGGAATTTCTAAGAAGTTGGGGCACCAAGATACCAAATTGCTACATAAAACTGTACAATACAGTATACATACAGTTGATGGTACATTGTATCCCTATCTTTTAATTTCCATGAGATTTTCTCTCCTACACCTTTTTGGGCAATCAAACCAAGTCTTGATTTACACTACACATTGCAGAGTATTGCGAGACGTTTCATATTTTCCAAGGGACAGCAGGTGGTAGAGAATGAGACTGACGAGCGGAGGAAAAAAATAAAGAAATTCAAGGAATCTGCATGGAAATTTCTGTATTATCTTTCAGCTGAAGTATTTGCAGTTGCTGTTACCTATAACGAGCCTTGGTTCACCAAAACAAAATGTTTCTGGGTTGGGCCTGGGGATCAGGTGTGGCCTGACCAGAAATACAAGTAAGAGTTTTCTGTTATTACTATTCTTTTCAAACTCAATTTATTTACTTATTTATACTGTATTTAGACTTAGGAAATTTAACTATGTGCAAGGTTTTTTACAAACATTATTCATTTTTTTCCTTGGCATTTATCTTCTTTTCCCTGGCATTTTCTAGGATCCAAACATACCTTTAGGGTCCCTTAGGTAGTCAGAAATCCTAGGGAAAGGGGATAATCTCAAGCAACACTATTTTCTTACATTTGAATTTGTCTTGGGAAATGCAATGGACAATGAAACCTGATTAATTTTTTTTAACAAATAAATATATGCACAGAATTACAGATATCTTAGTCTTTATATTATAGAAATAAATAGATAAATAAATTGAGCGAATATGAAGAATAAAGACATTGAGTTAAGTCTATCCTTCGAACTTTATTTCCTTCTTAGTTTCTTCTCTACCTTCTTTCTCTAATATTTCCTGGATTTCAAATGGACCCTTAAGCTTTCCTTGTGTTTGATGAAACAATGATTGAACATTTGAACATGTGATATCTTTCCAATGTATGAGCCAATGATTTTTATTTCGTTCCTAACAAGTTGGAGGCGCCTGGTTTCAAAATGTAGGTCAAAGTTGAAGGCTCTTTATATGTATGCTGGTGGGTTCTACACATATTCCATATTTGCTCTTATATTTTGGGAAACAAGGCGCTCTGACTTTGGTGTTTCAATGAGCCACCACATTGCTACCGCCGTTCTCATTGTATTGTCATATATATTCAGGTGTGTTTGTGTTTTTTAGAGTTAAAGTTTTGCTTTATTGTGAAGACATGTATTTTAGTACATTGGATTATTAAAATGATTCTAATTTGCATGAAGGCCTATACTACAAGTAAATAACTAAGAGGCTTGTCAGAAATACAAGAAAAAGTCACATCGAAAGGAAAATATTATACTTTTTTGTCCCAATACAATTATATCATTCCCGTTTTTAATTGCTGCTTTTATTTTTACAACTTCTGTTTGGTTTTGGTCGGCAAGGATCGAAAGTGGCACTATATATTAGACTATTAGTCATGTGCCAAAAGGGGGAAAAACGAAACTCATGGATAAAAATGAGAATGGTCTCATAATCACAGACGAAAATGGACTTCCATATCCGAATGTGATGCTTGTCTCAATCGCATCAATCCAATCTGTTTCGATCAAACAAGCTGTGGTTCACCCCACAGGGCTATATGGATACAGAATTCTCTCTTAGATCTATTACTCCCTCCGTATTTTAAAGATTGCTACAATAGGCATTGACACATTATTTAAGGAGGAAAGTAGCACGAATTGTGAATTAGTGAATAGTGTAGAAAAAGAGGAGAGAAGGTGTAAAAAATATGAAAGAGAAGATAAAAAGTAGAAAAAGTAAGGGTAATTGAGTACTTTTAAAGGGAAAATTTACCAAAAAGGGAAACTGTAGCAAACATTAAAATACATCCCAAAAAGAAAAGTGTAGCAAACATTAGATACATGAGTGTTGTTATTCCTATTACTATAATTATTGTTTGTTTTGTTCAGGTTTGCACGTGTTGGTTCGGTTGTTCTAGCCATTCATGATGGTAGTGACATACTTTTGGAAATAGCAAAAATGTCAAAATATAGCGGTGCCGAAGCTCTTGCGAGCTTTTCATTCGTTCTTTTTGTCTTGTCTTGGGTCCTTCTCCGCCTCATATACTTCCCTTTTTGGATTTTATGGAGTACAAGGTCAGTCATTGTTCTTTCCTTTTAAAAGGAAAAAGGATGAAGTTTGGCAATTTTAAAGTACTGTTTGGTTTTCCTAATTGCAGCTATGAAGTTGTACAGACTTTGGATAAGGATAAACACAAAGTGGAAGGACCAATATATTACTACATCTTCAATTCTCTTCTGTTTTGCTTGCTTGTTCTTCATATATATTGGTGGGTCCTGATGTATAGGATGCTTGTTAAACAAATCCAGTCAAGGGGTCAACTCAGTGACGATGTTCGATCTGGTAAGACATATAACCGTTTTGATATGATTTTAACTTTCCGTAATTCATAGTGTTATGGATTCCCATATAACTATTACAGGGTCATATGGCCCTTATTAACTTATTTGGCCTTATCATGACTATTCATTTCCATAGTGAATGATCTCACTATGAAAATGAATTGTCACGATAAAGGTAAATAAGCCAGTGACTCCATAATAAAGTCATAGGAGACTCCATAAAATTTTGTAACAGTTTACCCCATCCATTCAAAAATGAATAAAGATTTGGAGCCACAATATGGGCCTATGTGAAGTGTTCTAAATAAAGCCTTACCTAGCTTCAATTAGGTGTTATACAGAAATCAGTCCGGCTCACTTCGGCACTCAGCTTGTTTGTTTGATGAAACAAGTTTAGCTCGACTTGATAGTTGATTCATGAACGAGGCAAGCTAGTTTGACTCGAAAACCCTGACCCGGGCTTATTATTGGGGCATGTTTGTCACTTCATTGGATATTACACGCCTGTGACCGGTGAACTTGTCCCTATGAGGTTCGAGCTCAAGCTTGAAACAAGTCAGATGTTGGTTCTGAGCTTGAAACCTTAACAAGCCGAGCTTGAGCAATGATCAAAATTTGTTCGATCGAGCTTGAATGTTTTGTGATTGGATTTAGCTCAGTTTGAAAATAGCATCGGACCTACCCTGACTTGACCACATAATTCGCAGTTAGGCACTATGGTTCTGTCTAGTGCTTTTTAGAACCTTGTTTAGGCTTCAATCGAGAACTTGGAGTATATCCTAGGCTAGATAGCTTTTAACAACACGTTATATATGGTCCATGTTACGATACTATATTGTATTTTATAGAATTGGAGTCACTCAGCTGCCATAATGCACATGGGTTACACCGCACAAGAGGATTTAATCCAGTCGATGGAGGTCTCTCCTTATATTTCGATGTGTGACTTTTAACCGTATCAAAGAGATATCATGCTCATAATATGCCCCACGGGAGAATGAGCAATGAATGTTATCAATCAGAATACGTAATCAGTGAGGCGATAAAATGTTGATTAGTTACTCTGAGATGGTGTGCATTATGACCATACCATAATCTCAATGTTTTCTATTGATTCCATGCTCTTTGCACAGGATATTGACATCATTTTACTTGAATAAATTTGAATACATTTCCTCTAATTGTTTATATTTAGTTTTTCGTTTGTAATAGTTGTTATTCTTCAATCAAGATCAGAGTTCTCTATCGTATATATAGTCATGTTTCGTGTTCCTTGTACAGATTCTGAGGAAGAAAATGAACACGAAGATTGATCCTTTCAGAAGGGTTTCCCCTGTCATCCACGTGGAGGTACTTGCAATTTCTCAACTGTTTGGTTCAAATTGTGAACAATGTTTTAATGGTCTCTGACTACGTCCCCCTTGACTGCCTTTGGTTTTATTTTCCTTATTTAGGCTGCGCCTAACCCTTTTTTAAAACACTTGCATTAAAAGATAATTGGAGTTGCAGATATGGAACTTGAGAGCGGCCGCTTACCCCCCTTCGTACAACGTACCAAAACAAGCACAACAGCTATGTGTGTGTGTGTGTGTATCAATCTATATTCATATGATGCATTTGCATGAAACAGGTGGCATGAAGAGTTCCATGAATCCTTCTCTTTTGCAATGAAGACCAACCGTAGATTCGCGTAATATTTTTCAAGTCAGGAAACACGAAAGTAGGTCCTAGTTAGGTACGGTTGCAAATTGAAGATACATTGTAACTGAACATAATGTTTCCCTCATTATATTTTTGGTTTTGCCACAAATGAGTCTTTCCAAACCCTATTAATTTCACAGGAATGTCTAAGGCTTGACTCGGTTGGGTTACAGTTTGGTTCTTGACCGGCCCGTTCCAAGTTAGGGTAGCGGTAGAACTGGAACATTAAACAACCGGAACTTTAATCAGGTAAACAGGTTAAGGTTCCCGTTTGAACCGAAGAATGAGTGTCGCTTCAGTTCCTTTACCCCAACCTGTTCTGATCCAGTCCGATTATGGATCTGGAACCGTGTCCCGCCCAGGGACGGATCCAAGATTTTGAGTCAAGGGGGGCGAAATTTTTTTCATTACTGTAGGGGGTAAAAATTTTCCGCTTGTGTAGCAGGGTGAATTTTTTTTCTCCAGTGTAGCGTGACGAATTTTTCCGCTAATGTATGACTCTGCGACTAGTTTTTGTTCAAAAATATTCATGAGTAAAAACACGATGACGTTTAAATCTATTATACTCTATTTTAGACAATGGAAAATAACTTTGATTTAATAACTGTAAGTGCTCTAGAAAATTATTTAAAAATAAGAAAGGATATAACATTTCATTAAATTATTTGAAGGTAAAGAGTTTAAAAGGTACACATAAACCGATGCGTTTTAAATAACTTCTACTTTGTTTAACACTTTAACCACATGAATCTTATCAGAATAAAGAATCAGTTTTTGAATTGAATTGTTTTCCTACAAAGGAGGGTATTCGTGGATAACGAGGAGTTTCCTTAACAATAATATGTATGAGATTATTAGTTTTAGAATAATATTATACGTAGTATTGTTAAATGTTAATTCATATATACATGGTGCATATTATATTTGTATTAATGCTAAAATAAGTTAAAGTTTATTATCTAAGCAACAAATTGTTTTTAGAAAGTAAGAAGTAAATTGATTGTGTAATTTAGTGTCAGTTAAACATTTATATTTTGGATTCACTCTACATGATCTAAAAACTGTTTAACAATTGTGTATAACATTTAATATCGTTGATATATTACGAAATCGGGTACTAATTATTTAATAAAGATAATTAAACATTACAAAACTAAGAGTTTTATATAATAGGTATCCTAAGTCTTAAACAATGAGTTGTTCTATTGTTTATTTGTTTAAATTATGTAAAGTATTTTAGATTTTTAGATTTTACTTCTTTTAAATCTCCATTTAAGTACTCTGTATTACATTATGTGAGCTTATATATTAATTTTCAAAATTAAAAGATAAGGGGGGCGAAAACGTATATATCTAATTAAAGTATGAAAATTTTACAAAAATATTACATATATAGTAGAAAAATTTGAAAGTCCAAGGGTGGCGGTCGCCCCCCTCCCCCCCTTAAATCCGTCCCTTGACTCCCGCCCTAGGAGTGTATCATATACGGAGTATTAACTTGAATATTGTTAGAACTTGGTACCAGCAGCCATGTGAGTCATGTGACCATGCCTTGCCAATAAACCGCAGCAAGCTTGTTCACTTAAAGTTAATTTGACTAAAATGATAAGAGTATACACTGTAACACCGTGTATATAGATTTTAAATAATGAAAGTAGCGCATAAAACGGAAAATGAGAGTAAAGAGCTGCTCTGAACTTATCACACGATCCAGAATTAATGATCAATGATCTTTTTCATTAATATAGATTTAAAATGATTTAAAAAAATAACAAGCACACAAAAGAGCCTAATTTGAAGCGGTCTGAGTCTCTGAGACCTAGCGTGTCTAGGGATGAAGGGGGCCGTGACGTATTGTTTCGTCTGTCGGCGTTTGGTTACACGAAGCCATCGTACGTTGATAGGGGTTGTGCCACTCACCAGCAGCATCAGGATTGGGGTGTTGGTAGGGCACTCATCGGCATGGACGGGGTCAAAACTTGGTCGAAAGCTACATGATCATTGGTGTGAAGGATTTTAGTCTGGTTGTGCTGAAGGAGTGGATTTATTCATGGGCTACGAAATTAGAGTTATTAACCTTGAGGCTAGATGATGAGATGGCTAGGGAAGTTGATGTCTTGAAGGAACCGTTTCCCTCCTGAACTGTCGCCTGGGAAGGCTGGAAGTAGCCGCATGGCTAGGGTTTGGAAGAGGGATGCTATTCCTTGTTCTAGTTTCGTATGCTTTACTTTTCTTCCTTTAAATTTTATACTTTGGTTTTGTTTTGATTGTGTTTGTAGCGATGTTGAGACGGTTATGGTTGTTTTGAGAGACAAGTATCTCCTTTTGATCTTCATTGGCTATTTGCCATTTCAGTGGTTAGCGAATTGCTACGTACATTTCTGTGGGAGTAATTCTATTGTCTAATCCTAGACCAATTCAAGGGTGTTTGCCTGATGGATTATTTGTGTGTTGTTAAGATTTTAATATAAACTTACCTTTCTTAAAAAAATGACTTGTATACTATGACATTTAAAAGCATCACAGCTTTACATTACACAATAATAAAGGAAAATGAATCTTATCATTCATTATATCCGTACTCTAAAAATTGGCATGGTAGATCAAACGCCTGTAATAAGAAATCAAAGCAAAAAAGTTTAATTATTAAAAACATTTGAAAGTTTATTGATTTATTTTAGCAATAAATAGTCTGGTATAGTTATTGCTGCACGCAAACTTTTGCCTCGTTGAAGATGATTTTTTTAGAATGAAGTAATAAAGTTCTTGAGTTGAACTTTTTTAGAATATGAGTTTGAAATTTATAAGACTAGTATGTGTACCGTGCACCGCACGGTGAAAGTAGTTTGTGGTTAAATTTTTCTGATGAAAAAAATAGAAATGAAAAGTAGAAATCAATCATCATTTACCCCAGTGCCGCAAAGGCTCCCACCTACGGTGGGGTAAGGGGGGTCGGATGTACGCAGTCTTACCCCTGTACTAAAGCACAGAGAGATTGTTTCCGCATGACCCATAATGAAAATCGCGTCCAAATTTGTATGGACTGACTGCTGCTTCATAACAAAGAAGAGCTGACAATTTGATGAGCCATTTTGCTTTATTCCATCATATTCTCAAGCCAAAAATAATGAATTTTTGGCTCCATTGCAAATGATGGATCAGAAATGAAAAGGAGAAATAAGAAAAAGTAATAGGTAATGAATAAGAAGAAAATGCACAAAATGGATAAAATGCCTTAGTACTATTGCAAGTGTTTTAGGGGTGATGATGAGACGGTACATGATGCGAGATAGTCCTCTTAAAGAATTTCTCCCATCTCAAACTATGATTTTTTTAAATATTTAGTTATCGTATTGTCCTAAATGCCAAATATATGTACCACCTTACCCATTCCATATCAATTTAACAACTTTTGATATAATTTAGGAAGATCCTTTGCTACCATTTAATTTCTTAAATGATGTACTAATAAAATATACTATGTATAAACTATAAAGCCATAAAGTGTATTTATTATTTTTGTATTCTATATCTTCTAAAAGTGTGTGCATATTATTTTATTATATTTTACATTTTCATTTTACTTTTTCTTATTTTTATTTTTTACTTTTATTCTAACGTCTTTTTTGTTATTTATCATTTGTGGTGATTTATATTTTCTCAAATGACCTCTTTTAGTAGGTCATGACAACTCGATTAATTGTGTTTTTCCGAATAAAAGTACTCATACATGAGTAATAATTTTTGGTATAGGGGTTCGAGTGATGGATTTGAAATAATAGCTGGATTCATATGAACAATTTTCATGTACTATTTATTTGTAATTTGGAGTATCAACAATTCTAAATGTGAATAGAGCAAACATAAACAGATAAAATGGAAAGACCATAATTAAATAGACCACTTAAAAGTATTATATCAGTTCACAACATTTCAGTTTAAATAAGATAGAACATTCTTAGTGGGTGTTTGAAGTTGATTATACCTTTGTATCTTTTTTAAAAACAGAAGTAGAATCAGAATCAATTCTCATTCTTAACAGTTTTTATTTTTGCTTTGTACTCTTACTATTTTATCAATAAAATCTTCATTTTTCTCCAAAAGAAAAATCAGAATTAATTTTTAAAAACAAGTTTTCGTAGCTTCTAAAAACTACTTCTAGGAGCAACTTGAAGCATCCAAAAATACTTATACACTTTCATCTAACCACTCCAATATCTGCTTATGTTTTCTAAAGGAGACAATTAGTATGTGCATCTCATACTTGTGTAGGGGTCATGCTAATCTTCTTTGTATCGTTCCAATTTTATCGGATGTCCCCGAAGGGACATGGGACATTTGGTATGTGATTATATTGTTATGACTATTGCAATATAATGTCAAACTGGATATAATAATAGTTACTAAGAAGACTAATATACTTACTGTTTTTAAATTACATAGTTGTTTTTACTAAATCATAGACAATAATTACCAAATATGAAAAAATCAATTCTACGCTCCATAACTTTACATTACATATAACACATTATTTTTCACCTATATTTACATATAAAATCGGGTGTCATAGATACACAAACATATACTATACCATATTGGTCATATATAATGGTCATGTTATTTTAATAAATAACGTGGCAATGCTAGTAGCACAAATGCGCATTGGCTAATTTTTCAAAAAACGTTGTTAGCTATGGCGCCTACATTGTGAAGATATTTTTAGCACTATATATTTTTCCTTTGAATGACAATGTCTTATGGTGGTTATATATTCAATTCGTAAGTGAACACCATACATTAACCTAATGTAGTTTGATGAGACCTTATTAGAAGTTGAATGGACTTTCTTTGTGCTTGTATGTTGAAATTTGGAAGTTGAAGAGGTTTCTCTTTAGCTTTTTAAATGCTTATAAATGTTAGTACATACACTATGTCATGTGTATCATATGTACGTATTCCCCCATGTGTTGTAGATAAATGCTTTATATGATGAATAAGAATTTAATATAGTGATGCCACATGCCAAATTTTCTTATAATGATGAGTGTTGCCACATGTCAATTATTCCTTCATAGAGGTCTTCAAGGTTTGCTTTATTATATTACTAGTATGTGTACCCGTGCATCGCACGGTAAAAGAAGGTCATGGTTAATTTTTTTGAGAAATGAAAAGTATATTTTGAAGAAAAAGAAAGAGAAATTAACGACTCAATCCCATATCCAATATTTTAGTTTGTGTTATCATGATATAAGTTATAGATTGTAAGTTTATAGAATTTTGTTTTCTGAGAAACAATAAGTTTATAGAATTGAAAATACAAATATGAATATAATAAAAGATTATTATACTTAAAATAATTGTTTAAAAGAATATGGATACGTTAGTTGACTGTTGTACGGTAAGTGGGTAATACTACATAGTAATCATAATTTGAAAAGTAACATATATAACTTATAAAAGAGTGAGGAAGAAACGACCGAATGATGTAAAACTTTGTTCTAAAAGGTTATAAACAATATAGTGTATTTATCATTATTTATTAGGAAAATTTAGGAACATTTTCTTCTATTACTTTT